TCCTGTACACCAAATACTAATATTAACATTAGTGCAGCCATTGACACACTAACATTGATGTGAGTATAGAAACATACTAGTAAAAAATACAAACATAATATACTCATCCAAAAAAGATTAAACATAATGGAAGCCAATGACAACACTTAATATTAACTACGAACACGGCCACAATGTGCTAACTGTGTTCAGAAAATAAAGTATTTCTATAAATGTAGAAACATGCACACAACCCATACACCCAATTAAAAAGCAAAAATAAAATCACCCTTGATAATGACTAAAAGTGGAGTCGAAAGAGCTCGGAATTATAGAACATTTGGGCAATTTCTACGCACCTCTGTGTCCAGAAAAAGAAAACACTTGTTCGAACAAGTAAAAAGGTTAATCGCAGCACCTTGTTTGTTGTGTTTAATGAAACATGTATAAATGAAGGCTTACTGCCTAAACACACAGACACAGGCAGACACGCACACTCACACACACATATATATATATATATATATATATATATATATATATATATATATATATATATATATATATATATATATATAAAAAAAAATATACGGAAAAAAACAAACAAAAATCCTTATATGCAATTATGCTGTTTTAATGTTAATATAATGTCAACGTCGGACGTTTCGGTCTAATAAACCATCTTCAGCACATATTCATAAAATATAATTAACATTATCAATTCAACATGACAAAGACGATGGACATAAGAACAAGATTTATCCAAACAGATAACTGAAAGTTTTATAAGATCAGCGTTCCGTTTTTCATTTTTCATTTTTCATTCAAAGTACTCAAGTTATAGGAATACGTTTTCAAAGCATCACTCACGTGACGACAACGTGACCATGTTTAAACGGAACGCTTAATTTAGTGTGTGCGTTCTGTATATGTCTTAGTGTGTGGTAGGGATTTTTTTTAAATTTCCGAATACGGTTATCACATTGTGGCTTTGTTCGTAGTTAATATTGTTAAGAGTTGGCTTTTTCTTTTTTTATTATTAAAGCTTCCATTATTTTTATTCTTTTTTTGAAGGTGGATGCAGTTAATATATTTGTGTTTTCTACTAGTATATTTCTAATGGAGTCTGGTAAATTTGTGTGTGAGTTTAAATGTGTTCTAATAGAGCTGTGATCATTTGGACAGATCTTACACACCCTTTGTCCAGAAAAGAAAACTCTTGTTCGAACACAAGAAAAATTAAATAAAAGCTTAACCGTAGTACCTTGTCTGTCGTTTTTAATGAAACATGCATATATATATATATATATATATATATATATATATATATATATATATATATATATATATATATATATGGAAAAATCTTCCACCGCAGTTTCTATCTTGTTGGTCAAAAATGTGTAATGTAAGTCCATTTCATGGTTCAAAATGTGACCCCTACAAGAAAATAAAACCCCAAATGCTATTAAAAATAATACCCCAATTTACATGGTAATTCGAAGAACTTAAACACGTTATGAAAACGAAGTCACACGAACACCCGGCGCATAGGGGCAGCCGCAACAGAAACCCGTGTCCCGGTCACGCAAATACTGAAGCTATTAGTAATCTAATCTGTGATTACTTTTCTCAAATTAGCTTACATCTTTCTGGTATATGTTTCGACCGGCGATAAGTGAGGATGCAATACCACATTGGCGAATGCTGAGTGGCTATCATATCACAGAGTTAATTGACGAGTCGGAAACACAAAGGAAAGGCGACTCGAAAATAAACCTTCAGTAAAGTTAGATTACAGTTTTATAAATTTAAAACCTACTGGAATAGAGCAAGTTTTGAAAGAATTACATTTCATTCGCTTTTACCCAATGCGTATGTTCACATTTTTTACGCTATTGTCACCCACCCCCATACAAGAAGTAAGAGCCACTCAAAGTAGACGGTAACTGAATGTGGTTGTTTTATGGACGTAACAATTGCAGGTTATTAAGATGTGTAGGAGAGATAACAATTGACATTCGACATTTGACATGAAGAATTTAAAATTGTAGTGGTAGGGGAAGCATCATCTTGGGAGCCTGTTCAACAAAACAGCGGCTCATAAGATGAAGCTGTCCAAACACAACTTCTTTTTGCTTACTAATTTAGTACGAAGGGAACGATGATGGTTCGAACCTGTGTAAA